CCCCAAAATATTGGTAAATGATCATAAACCTTTTTCTTTCGATATCGCATTGCATTTCATCAATTTTCATCCTAAAATCTAGGGTTCTTAGGGTAGAAATTAGGAATTTGGGTAGAGTTAGGGCTTTTTGATTAATTGGGATTTAGACCTCGTTTTGGGGTCGAATTTAGAGTCTAGTTGCATATTTGGGCTCATGGGTGAATGGATGATCGGATTTTTGTCCGAACCTCGTGTTTTGACCAAGCAGGCTCGGGGTCGATTTTTGACTTTTTAAGAAAATTGATAGAAAACATATAATTGAGCATTGAATATGAATTCTTTAGCATTTATTGATGTTGATAAATCAATTTGGACTAGATACGAGTTGTTTGGAGGCAAATTCTAAAGGAAAGACGGTGTTTGAGGCTTGAGTTGGCCGTAGAAGTTCGAGATAAGTGTTTAGTCTAACCTTAGCTTGAGGGATTAAGAGTTGTGTCCTATTTGCTACGTGTTACTTATTGAGTACGACGTATAGGCATGGTGACGAGTATCTATACGTTGGTGTCAAGCATGACCGTGAGTCTTAAATTGAAATTGTTGTGTTTTTAATAAATACTACGAATGCCTAAGTTGTTGATTTTCTGTGTTGAGCAAGGATTATGATTATTCTCTTGGAAATTACTTATGATTTAGTTTTGGAGCTAGTTGAGGAAGTTAGATGTTGGAACAAGTTTGGTTATAGCTGATTTTCCCTTGCCGGGGCGTATTTACTCATATTGTCGATTCCCTTGCCGGGATAGTGGTTTTCTTTATTGATCCTTACCCGGGACTCTCTTTGTGATTGGTGTTGAACTGTATATATGGATCGGGTTGCACGCGGTATCAATATTATATTTGGATCAGGTTGTACACCGCAATAATATTATATTTGGATTGGGTTGCACGCCGCAACAATATTATGTTTGGACCGGGTTGCACGCTGCAACAACAATGTAATTGGATCGGGTTGCACGCTGCAATAGTGATAAATAATATGGATCTGGTTGCACACCGCAACAATATTTTTATGATTTGGACCGGGTTCCGCTCCGCAACAGTAGATGATAAAAGTGTTTGTTGGTTGGTTACGATTTCCTTATTCTTTTGCTGTGAATTCTAAATTGCCTTTATGTTTTTCTCTTGACCTGCTATTGATAAATGATATTTCCCCGCAACATGTCCCCCTCCTATCTTTAGTTGTTTATTACTGTTTTATTTTTCGCTGTATATTATATAACTGCACAGGTTTATCTGGTAGTCTGGTCCTAGCCTCGTCACTACTTCGCCAGGATTAGGTAAGGCACTTACCAGCACATGAGGTTGGTTGTGCTGATACAACACTCTGCACTGTGTGCAGATCCCGGAGCGGCAACTTTTGGACCATAGCTTTGGGTGGCTACCTTCAGTCCAGTCAGAGATCCCGAGGTAGTCCTATAGGTGTACGCAGGCCCCAACGTTCTCCACTATCTTTATATTCTGTTTCCATTTACTTTAGAGACAGATTATATCTTTCATTCCAGACAATTCTTTGTAGTATTCGTAGATGGTCCATGATATTGTGACACCGGTTCCGGGTAGAAATGTACTTGGTATTGTCGTACTTGTTTTTGGCTAAGTTATCAGATTACGTCTTCCGCATGTCTTTATTTATTATTAATATTTCACTGTTGATCGTATGTTGCCTTAAACTGTTAGAAAGGGCTAAATAAAAGAGTTAATGAATCTATAATACTCGGCTTCCCTAGCTTCTGCGAGTAGGCGCCATCACGACTCCCGAGGGTGGGAAATCCGGGTCGTGACAAAAACTATCCTTAAAATAAGAAGAAATACTTATACATTAATATTCTAAGTATTAGATTTAACGGTTATTTTGGTATATACTATATTTTGTTAAGGGTATTTTTTGTAAGAAGAAAAGTCAAAACTGCTTTTGCTTCTGCTTTTGGGAAGAAGCTATTTTTTTTCTGCTTCTGCTTCTTCCCAAAAGCAATTTTTCCCCAAAAAAGCTTTGCCAAACACCTTAAGTTAAGAGAAAAAAGTATTTTTGGGGAAGAAAGCACTTTCGGCCTTGGAAGAAGCTTGGCCAAACACGCTATTAAATTAGTGTACTAAAATTTTGAGCTGCTAATTTAATATTTATGACTACTTGTCTTGAATTTGTGAACTGGCAATTTAAAAGTCAGGACTAAATATCCTAAATTTTTGAATTGCTAATTTAAAATTCTGGACATAACATTCGAATTTTCGTACACAATTTTCGAACTTTAGGACACGAGTTTTGAAGTTTGAACCTCAGGATGTCGTGTCCTAAAATTTGAACGAATTGACTAACCTTTTTAATATACTGTAAACTGTGAATATATTTTAAACATCATGCTTAAAAGTGAATACGTAGTGTCATTTTTTGCAAATTTGATTGACGTAATATTCCTACCCCTTTACTCATTTGCTCATACTAGTAATTTTGAGGCTATGACATCAAGCACTTTGTTGGCTATGACGCTAAAACTAGCTCTATAGACTGTGTTAATCCCAAATAAATTGAAATTAGCTATACGAATTTTCACTGATTATGTTACTCAATTTTTATCATCGCAACCTAATATTTTCCAAATACAAATAAATATTACTCTATCCATTTTAATTTCTATGACATAGTTTGACTTGACAGACGACACGAATTTTAAAAGAAAAATAGCTTTTGAAATTTATGATCCTAACAATTTAAAGGGTAAATGTTTGTGGGACTTTTAATTTGTGTGGCTTTAAAATCTTCTCATTAAAGATAAAGTGAGTAAAATAAAAAGTTAAAAAATTAAATTATTTTCAAATATAAAATTGTGTAATTCTTTTTTAAACGGACTAATAAAAAAAGTGTAATACAATAATTTATATCGGAGGGAGTATAAGAAGTTCTCTAAATTTTTGAAACATATAAATCTCCGTAAGACAAAACATTCATAGAAAGTATAAGATCTACAGTGCTAGTGTCGAAAAAAAAAAAACATATTATCTACTAATATATATCGCCTAGATATTTTTTTTTTTTTGTTGTTGTTGTTGTTGCTATCATTATTGCTATTTTTATTCTCTTGAAATAACAAGCTGTTATAAAATATTAGATTATGAATTCTTAACTCCTAAAGGATAACACCCACAACTCTTCTCTATTATATAGATAATAATACCCGACTACTCCTAACATTATGCTTGTGATTCTCACACCTCTCATGATTCTTTTTCATGATCCCAATAGTTAATGTCATATTTAAGACAATCTTTGTGTTATCTCTACTTAATATTATACATCGAGGATGAGAAGTCATATTGTACATATTTGAAATCACTTAAAAGAAATAAGAAAAGCTCTCATCTCTCTACATTTCTTGCTTTTATCTTTGATGTTATTATATTTTGAGCTTACTTTTTTAACACGTTATCAGCATGAGTTTTTAATTATATGCAAGCTAATTTTAATTTTCTTTCTCTCTGTTAGACGTATGTCAAGCTCTCGGTTTTAATAGATGAAGGATTTGAGATGCATGGTATAACTAGCAGAAAGAACCGTGCTTCTATTTTGACGATACTTACAAAATTAAATTTAGGCGAAATACCTATAAGACACCTAAAGTTGACACCATTTTTCATTTAGATAGTTAAACTAGGCCCCTTTTCATCTGAACACATTTCATAGGCTTATAATGTACCAATTAGACACTTTTGCCGCAGGTGCCATATCGCGTGAGTTACATCCTACTTAAGCGCGTGAAAAGAAAATTTTCAGCTGGTATATCTTTAGTAACGGTAACATGTGTGAAGTAACGTTAATTCTTTATATCTCTTCATTTAAACCCTAATTCCTTTCCCTATTGTAAAAAATCTAATTTTGCTCCTTCATCACTTCTCCTTCTCTTCTTGGTGTCAATTCTTTTCTTCTCTTCTTTCTCTCGTTTGTGTTCTCGCCAAGTTTTTTTAAGTGAAGGTCGAAACTTTGTTAAAATCCATTATGTCGAACTTATTGGAATCGGCGAACTCGTCAATGTCACCTTACGCTGCCGCTCGAATTTGTAAGTGTGGTGTTTCTCCAAAATTGAATACTTCATGGACCCAACTAAATCCAGGTCGTAGGTTTTTTGCTTGCAAAATAGGAAAGGTAATTTTTGTTCTTAATTGTATTTTATTAATTATTTTCTATGATAATAATTGATCAAATGTGTTTGTTGTGTTCGTAGAAAAAGGGTGGATGTGATTACTTCTGGTAGTATGATGATGAGATGCCTACTCAAGCAAAGAAAATAATTTGGGGTTGTTAAAGATAGTGAAAGCTTTTGAAGAGGAGAAGGTTCGAGCAAAAAAAAAGACTGATCCTTTTGACCGTTGTTGCTGTATTGTGATGTATGGTCGTGATCTTTAGGTGTTGTTGATGCTGTCTTTAGATGTTGGTGCAGATTAATTTGGTTATTTTAGGTGTTGTTGCTACTGAACTTTTGTAATGTTAGAAGCTATGTGATATTGTATTTTGGAAGTAATGAAAAATTATTTAAGTTCTTGTTGCTGCACAAAAGTTATGGAATCTTGGGCATAAAATTTTTTACACAACTGATATCCTTTTTATATTGGCTGCTACATTTCTTCACATAGGTGACTGCTACATGCACTATTTTTGTTGTTTGATATGGAATAGCAGTCCAATAAGAATGGCAAAGGCAGAAAAGAGGCGTTTGCGAAGCCAAGAAAGTTTCTTTTGTTTGGTATGGAATAGCACTCTTTGATATGTTACCTTTTTCTAGCATATGAAATGACTCAATTCTGCTTCTCAAGTCTTCATGTGAAGCAACAGATATAGTAGTACTAAAAATAGTAGTGTACTTCTTCTTACTGTGCTCTATGCTTTGGCCTCACATGTTCAACTGTAGTTACTACTCAACCTACTAGTATTAGCTAAGAATTGTGATGCATAAAAACATGAAAAACTCCCAACATCAACTGAAATTGTGATGCATTACATTAAGAACACGAAGATTACACAACTGAATGGAACCATAACAGTTTAGTTCTTCAAAAATTAGATCCCAAAATATATTAGTTTGCTGCTACCATAGAGCCAAGAATAGACCTTGACTATGTATAATTGTTTGCTGCTACATAATTATATAGTCAAAAAAATAAGTTCCTAAGATACTAATTCTTGCAGATGTTTGCCTTCATCTACTGCAACTGAGAAGATGTGACAGCATCTTGACCCTTCCACCTCAAGCCTCTTGCCTTAAAACCAAGGTCTATTCCTGTTGGAGTTGCATTGTTATAAGTTGAACCACCTACTAGAACTCTTTGGCTTGATGTTCCGGGCTGCAATTTACCAAATAATGAAGTACAATCAGTAAGTTATTCTAAGTGATATTATAGATAAATATGTATGAATATATACATTTAGTATTTGAGTTCCACTTGCAGCCGTGTAGATGCCAAATCCAATGTTTTTGGACCTTTTTTCTCCTCCTTTTTCAGCAACTTCTTTACCCGCACCCTTCCTCTCTTTTTGGAAAGTAGTTCCTTTACCCTTTGGAGGAAGTTGACTACCTAATCCTTTTTACCTGCATCCCTTCCTCTCATGTGTGCTATCTTCACTATTAGCCTCTTAACTATTAGTAAATTGCTCATCCCCACCTAAATTACCTACATATCTGGAAGCCTTATTTCTTTCAATATCCTCAAATCTCCTATCAATACCTACTTCTCCTAGTGGTATTTCCTCTGCTGCAATTGGTTTTTTCCTCTGCTTACTTTGCCTCTTGCTCCCCCTTTCGATCCCTAAAAATCTCAATTCATCATCACCTTTGAATCATCTTCTTCAGGGATAACATCTGCTTGTGAGTCACTACTGTCAACATCTGATTGCACTCCATTTTGATCTATGATCTTGTTCATCACTATTATGAGTTGGTTTAGCACCATTCAAATTTGACAGAGCATCATTGAGATTTGAGATATTTTCTAACTCTTCCTCATGTGGCTCAATAGTCTTCAATATTTATATTACTCTCAAGTAGTGCCCTAGCTTTAAATTGGTCATTACCACCCCACCTATTTCTGGCCCACATAGAAGACCAATTGAGTTTTCGAGTACTTTAGGCCGACTCACCACATGACGCAAATAAACATCCAAAATATTACCATGTTGTAAATCTTTCACAAATTCATATAATTAAAAATCAGATACAACTTGGATAAATTCACCATTTTATTTCTTTTGACAAAAAATCCTTCGACAATTGTATACCCAAGGTCTTTAACATAAGCGGACAACTCAACAACGCTAAAGTGGTCTTTATCGATAGCAACAGAAAAGGCATCTAATTTCCCTTTGTATATTGGGATAGGTTCTTCGATAAATGTAATCCCATGGTGAAAACGAGTTAAAATATAGTCATCCATAATATTCCCTTAGATAAACGCCAAAGGACCAGCACAAAAAAAATCCAAAAAAAGAAATCTAGCTTTATCAAAAACTTTTACAAAAAGCCATAACTACAGCAATAGAAATAAATAAAGTAGAGATTGGAACTTAAGAGTTGAAAATACCGTAAGACAGCAGTAGAGAATAGCAAATACCAGCACCATTGACTGAAAGTAGAAGAATCTTGTTAAGTAACGATGGTTTCTTCGATTCCATATATGGAAAAGGAACAGAGATAATTTTGTTTCGGCGTTTTGTTTATATGTTTGTCTGATTGGGAATAAGACTATATAGTGAAATGGACAATCAGATGATGTGGCACGATTTTAATGGCTATGTGTTCCACATAGACAGAGATTGCAGGCACACGCTTGGTGAATTCATAAGCCTCCGCAAAAAGTGTCTAATTGGTACATTATAAGCCTAGGAAATGTGTTCGGATGGAAAAAGGGCCTAGTTTAAATGTCTAAATGAAAAATGGTACCAACTTTAGGTGTCTTTGTATGTATTTCGGGACATTAGCTTTTCCTTGGAGTGCATGTATATATGATTTTCAATAATATTAAAAATATACCGAAATTAAGCATATTTAATCTGAGGCATGTGAAACACTGTCACAATTCAAAATTCACCTAATCGTGATAACACCTAACTCAAACCACTAGATAAACTAAATAACAATTACACAATTCTAATGAATATCAATAGAAAGTCAATAAGTGAAATATCTGAATTCTCATACAACATCCCAAGGACTTGTAGTACAAGTAATGAGCCAAAAAAATTTAAATTTACAAAGCTGGTATGATAATAAATACAACATCTGTTTGGAATGTACATAAACAGAGTAAGAATCTAAAACTACCAAAGACAAGTGGCATCTACATCCGGAAGATCAGTTATATCTTCAATGCCAATTCTCGTCATCCATAGCAGCATCATCTCCAATATCTGCACGCAAGGTGCAGAAGTATAGTTGAGTACAACCAACCACATGTACTCAATAAGTAATAAATCTAACCTCGGACTGAAGGCAGTGACGAGCTCGGAAGAAGGTCAATATCCAACATCAATAATTAATAACAATATGATAACAATTTTAAGTAAGGTAAACATCTAACATCATGATAAGTATAATTTGAGAATACAATTATAGTGAAAGTATGACAACCATTTAAAATAATAAGTGTAATAACCTGATCGGTCTTTTTGAGCATTTACGTTCCGTTAAGCTATTTGAAATCTTGAGTAGCTTCATATGATGTATTATGGCTTGTGTAAATCGTCGGTCTTGGTTTTCAAGTGATTCGGAAGCGATTTGGAAGAATGAATTTCATGTTAGAAGCTTCAAGTTGGAAGAGTTGATCAAGTTTTACTTTTGTGTATTTGACCCCGAATTAGAGTTTTGATAGTTCTGTTAGGTCCGGATTGTTATTTTGGAATCGAACTTGTGCCCAAATTTGCACTTGGATATTTATAGAAGTTTTCGGCACTAACGGATGAAAGTTTAAAATTTGAAGGTTTAGAAAGTCCATGAGTTTGACTGAGAGTTGACTTTAAGGATATCAAATTTGGATTGTAGTTCCGAGAATTGGTATAGCTTCGTTATGTCATTTAGGACTTGTGTGCAAAATTTGAGTTCATTCCGAGTTGATTTGATATGGTTCGACCTGAGTTTTGGAAGTTGAAAGTTCAACAGTTCATTAAGTTTGATTTGAGATGCGATTCATAGTTTCGATGTTGTTATGCGTGATTTGAGTCCTCGAGTAGATCCGTGTTATGTTACGGGACTTTTTGGAATATTCTGATGGGGTCCCGAGGGCCAAGTTCTCATAATGAAGTACGCGTTCACATAGAACCGAGGCGGAAGCTGGGAGCTAGAAATTCTTCAATGGGTTCGCGTAAGCTGGGATGCGTTTGCGAAGGTTGGGTGTCTACGTGCTTCGCATTCGCATGGATATTCTCGTGATCGCGTAACGTATTGTTGGAGGAAATGTAGTTTGTCCTTCGCGATCATGAAGTTTGTTCGGGGATCACATAGATGATTTCTGGGACAGTGATTTTTCTTCTTCATGATCGTGATAATATTCCCGTGATCAAGACTTATTAATTCGTCCAGTGATTATAAGAACTCTATTTTCGGGGTTTTCAGATATTTTAACATATTTGAAGTAATGGATGTGATGACCCAAACGGTCATCACTTGTTTTAAAAACAAATTTTGTATTCTAAGGCCTTAAAAACCTCCTTCTGTCTCACCTCGATTTGCGTGCGCAGTTCGACCGCGTAGCCGGAAAGCCATTATGTGAAAATCTGTGAAAAATGATGAATTTTGCCTTTAAAATGGGTTTAAGTTGACTTCTGTCAATATTTTGGGTAAACAGACCCGGATCCATGATTTGACGATCCCGGAGGGTTTGTAGGAAAATATGGGACTGGGGCATATGCCCGGAATCGAATTCCGAGGTCCCAAGCCCGAGAAATAAATTTTTAAATAAAATTATTTTCTAGAAAATTAATGAGTTTTTAGAAACGAAAAATGTTTGGAAGCTGTTTGGAACCTGGTACAGGTTTTATATGTGGTTTAAGTCGAGCCTGTGAAATTTGGTAAGAAATGAAAGTCGTTTGATGTAATTCGGACCCGTAGTTGTAAAAATTGATACTTTGAAAGTTTTGAGGGTTTTCTTAGATTTCTATGCTAAATTCATTGTTAAAGATGTTATTTTGGCGATTTGATCGCATGGATAAGTTCATATGATGTTTTTAAGTTAGTATTCATGTTTGGTTTGGAGCTCCGAGGGCTCGGGTGAGTTTCAGAAGGTTTTAAACTTAGAAAAAATTGCAGGTTTTCAGTTTCTGGTGTTCTAGTGTGTTGTTCTTCACGTTCGTGGAAGGACTCTCGCGAACGCGAAGGGTAAATCATGCTGAAGGAATTTTCCTTCTAAGTGAATGCGAGACACAGGACGCGAACGCGAAGCTTTGGGGGTGTTTCCCTTCGTGAACTCAGACCTGTTATCGCGAACGCGAAGGCCTTTGGGCCTGGGCAGGGGGAGAGGGATTTTACTCTACGCGAACGCGGCCACCCGACCGCAAACGCAAAGGCTCTGGGGGTTGAAGCTCCGCGAACGCGAGCCTGTTATCGCGAACGCGAAGGCCTTTGGGCCTGGGCAGGGGGAGAGGGATTTTACTCTACGCGAACGCGGCCACCCGACCGCAAACGCAAAGGCTCTGGGGGTTGAAGCTCCGCGAACGCGAGCCTGTTATCGCGAACACGATGGCCAATTGGGCCTGACCCATCGCGAACGCGACAGGCCTATCGCGAACGTGATGAAGGTCTGCCCAGTGATTTTAAAACTTAAGCAAAAACGGGAAAAACCCATTTACTTCATATTGTCGAAATTTGAAAGCATTGAGGCGATTTTTAAAGAACAATTTCTTCCCCAAAATCTAGGGTTTTTATGGTAGAAATTAGGAATTTGGGTAGCGTTCGGGTTTTTTGATTAATTAGGATTTAGACCTTGTTTTGGGGTCGGATTTCGAAACTAATTGTATATTTGGGCTCGTGGGTGAATGGGTGATCGAGTTTTGGACCGAACCTCAAGTTTTGACCAAGCTGGCCTGGGTTAAATTTTTGACTTTTTGGGAAAAATGATAGAAAACCTATACTTAAGCATTGGGAATGAATTCTTTAGAATTTATTGATGTTGTTAAATCAATTTGGACTAGATACGAGTTGTTTGGAGGCGGGTTCTAAAGGAAAAGCGGTGTTTGAGGCTTGAGTTGCTCAGAAAGTTCGAGGTAAGTGTTTGGTCTAACCTTAGCTTGAGGGATTAGGAGTTGTGTCCAATTTGCTATGTGTTACTTGTGGAGTACGACGTATAGGCATGGTGACGAGTATCTATACATTGGTGTCAAGCATGACCGTGAGTCTTAAGTTGAAATTGTTGTGTTCTTAATAAGTACAACGAATGCCTAAGATGTTGATTCTCTCTGTGTTGAGCAAGAATTATGATTATTCTCGTGGAAATTGCTTATGGTTGGGTATTGGTGTTAGTTGAGATTTCTTTGTGAAGTTAGATGTTGGAACAAATTTGGTTATAGTTGATTCACTTGCCGGGACGTATTTACTTATACTATCGATTCCCTTTTCGGGATAGTGTTATTTCCTTATCGTTCCCTTGCCGAGACTCTTTTGTGATTGGTGTTGAATTGCATGATATGGATCGGGTTGCACGCCGCAATAATATTATATTTGGATCGGGTTGCATGCCGCAATAATATTATATTTGGATCGGGTTGCACCCCACAACAATAATATAATTGGATCGGGTTGCACGCCGCAACAATGATAAATAATATGGATCAGGTTGCACGCCGCAACAGTGTTTTTATGATTTGGGTCGGGTTGTGCACCGCAACAATAAGTAATAAAAGTGTTTATTGATTGATTACGATTTGCTTATTCTTTTGCTATGAATTCTAAATTGTTCTTTATGCTTTTCTCTTAAATTACTGTTGGTAAATGATATTCCCCCGCAGCATGTCCCCCTCCCATCTCTAATTGTTTATTTCTATTATAGTTTCCGCTATGTATAATATAACTACACAGGTTTATTTGGTAGTCTGGTCCTAGCCTCGTCACTACTTCGCCGGGGTTAGGCCAGACATTTACCAGCACATGGGGTCGGTTGTGCTGATACTATGCTCTGCACTGAGTGCAGATCCCGAAGCGGTAGCTTTTGGATCGTAGCTATGGGTGGATGCCTTTAGTTAAGTCGGAGATTCCTAGGTAGTCCTGCAAGCATTCGCACGCCCCGACGTTCTCCTCTATCTTTATATTCTATTTTCATTTACTTCAGAGGCAGATTGTATCTTTATTTCTAGACAATTGTTTGTAGTATTCGTAGATGATCTGTGATATTGTGACACCGGTTTCGGGTAGAGATGTACTGGGTATTGTCGTACTTGTTTTTAGCTAATTTATCAGATTACGTCTTCCACATGTCTTTAATTATTGTTAATATTTCATTGTTGATCGTATGTTGTTTTAAACTGTTAAAAAGGGCTAAATAAAAGAGTTAGTGAATCTATAATACTCGGCTTGCATAGCTTTCACGAGTAGGCGCTATCTCGACTCCCGAGGGTGGGCAATTCGGGTCGTGATAAGTTGGTATCAGAGCTCTAGGTTACATAAGTCTCACAATTCATAGACAAGCTTAGTAGAGTCTGAGGGATCGG